CCCTTTTTTTTTTCCTACATGTGTTTTGTCAGGGTGTTTTTAAGCCTCCCTCAAAGGCATTGGGTGTTAGCTGCAACTAAGGCTGGGGATTTTGACTGAGGTATGCCAATGCTTCTGCTGAAACCAAAGCCAGAGGTCAGACTGATCACCATATTTAGGGTCTAGAAGGAATTTTACCCCGCAGTCAGATTGATACAAACTGTGGGGGTTTTTGCTTTCCCCTGTAGTGAAAGTCATGGCCTTCTACCTGGGATCTCAAGTGTATATTAACAATCTTTTACAAAAGCAGAGCATTGGCTGTTGTGGATCCCTGCTTTACCTGTGGCAGGTTTGGGCATTAGGTCTTGTGTTGGGTCAGGATTGACGTTAGTCTTATGAAGAGTTTAGATTATGGATTGTATAGTATAGTTTGGATAGGGATGATCCTGCCTCAGGCAGGGGGTTGGACTAGATGACTTCTGGAGGTCCCTTCAAGCTCTACTTCTCCGTGATTTCTATGAGCAGGTGTAAACAAAGGACCAGTAGCAGCATGACTTAGAAAAGTTATAATGCACATTTCTTATTTTAAAAGTGTGTGTACAGCCATTTGACTGAGGAAATAAGTAAGACAGGGTTGCTGCAAGAACTAAGAAATCTTGATATTTTCAAATGTTTGGTCCACATCTTCTGTTTCCTCCACTGGAAGGAAAACCCTCCTGCCCACGGGGCATGAGTCCTTGGAAACTTCAAGTTCAGTTTAGGTGCATCTACACAAGATGCTACATCGCCATAACGATGAGCTATGTTGATGTAGCTCATTCTTATGGCCATGTAGCATTGGCAGCCACTAACCATGACACCACTGTCACTGCGCAGTAACAACAAGCTACCACACAATAGCATAAAAAATAACCTGTGTGCTGCCAGGACTGCTAAAGCAAGTACTAAATGACATCACAGTACCAACTGCTCAGTCAGGGTCACATGTAGATGTGCCCTGCATGAATTAAAAGGGAGTTGATGGCCAGCTGTTGTTTTTTCCCTTTCTGTGGAGGCTTCACTGGAGAGAATAAGAGTCCTCCTCAGCACTGATTGAAGGGATAATTTTCAGGAGGGGCGGGGACATAGGTTCATAGATTCATAGATTGCAAGGGCTCGAAGGAACCTTGCAAGATCACTGGGTCCAGCCCCCCTGCACTAGGCAGGAAAGACAACTGGGGTCAAGTGACCCCAGCAAGGTGACTGTCCAGTCTCCTTTGGAAGATTTCCAGGGTAGGTGATTTCACCACCTCTGGAGGGAATTTATTCTGGAAACCCTAACTGTGAAGAAGTTTTTCCTAGTGTTAAGCCTGAAACGGTCTTCCAGGAGTTTGTGGCCATTACACCTCATTTTCCCCAAGGGTGCCCTGGTGAACAGTTGTTTGCTGAGCCCTTGATGTATTCCCCTGATGTAGTGGTAAGCTGCTACCAAGTCCCCTCTCAGCCTTCTCTTTTTTTAGACTGAAGAGGCCCAACTCCCTCAGCCTTTCCTCATATGGCTTGCCTTGCAAGTCTACGATCATACAGGTGGCTCTTCTCTGGACTCTCAAGCTTGCCCATCTCATTGTTGAAGTGCAGCTCCCTGAACTGGATGGAGTACTCCAGCTGTGGTCTCACCAGTGAAAATTTGTTTACTAGGAACTCAAAGCACCAAATAATTTCACATGGGCCATCTGGTAGATGCTTGTGTCTAAAGCTTAATGAACTGAGTTGAAATCGAATTGTGTCTAAGGTTAAATTTTAATTTCTGCACATGAAGTATTAGTAAGATGTTATGTAAGGAAGAACAGACTTCTTTGGGGCTTAAAAAAATTGAAATGTCAGTATCGCAGACATACCTATTGGCACAAACTGCAATACACACAAGTTTGGATCTTGTGGATCAATGCCTTTAAAGAAAATTAACACTCTCTTACATATACTTATGCACATATGCATGCTTAGTTCATTTAAATGTCTAAATCTCTGCTTATGCACAATCTTAGTTTGTTGTCAATCACTAACTGAAAAATGGTTTTATAGCCATTCCTAAACAAAATAGGCAATTTTGTTCTACATTTGCATCTTTCGGTAGTAATGATAACTTCTGAATATTTATTATAAAATTGTAACTCTAAAAGACTTGGTTTGTTCTCTGATTTTTCATTCTGTTTGTGTTGTTAATGATCCAGAACAGAACTAACAGTAAACAAAAATGAACAGAATATGTTATAAACTGAAGTAGATTGTATTCCTCAGCATAATAAAGACAGTGATTCACAATTTCAAGTATTAAATGCCTTTTCATTTGAAATATTATCTGACATAAGTCTATAAATGTTTGATTTCATTTGTACATATTCTTACAATGCTGTCCAGCCCTGGCAATGCAAAACCAAGCCATTAATTTCCTGGGAACTGAAATAGCTTTTTTTCTTCTTTTGGACGTTTCTCTCTGACCTACCAGAACTCTGCCAGCAGTAGGAATAAGTAAACTTGTTTCTAACATTCAGAGGATTGAGGCTTTGGAGCAGTTTTCCAGGATTAGTGAAGGCAAGAAAACTAAGCAGTTTTAAGGTGGAAGTTGGTCAGTTTATGAAGAGATGCTATGAAGTGGATATCAGCGATAGGAAGAGGCTAGACCTGATGGCTCAGGAGGTTCATACATTAAGTATGGGATCAAATAATGGTCAGAAAACTATATTGTTCAGCAAAACTCTGTGGTGTAGATCAGAAGATATATCTCACTCTGGTGAGCTTGATTTGTTTTAAGGTAAGATAGAAATACCTTTCTGTACTGTTAATTCATGTGCATTGGCGATGCATAGGGGGTACACACGGGTGCACATGCACCCCCTGAATGTGGTGGTGCACCCTCTGCAAAAAGGCACCGCTGACACTGCCAGCAGTGCCTGCGGCTGGTTGCCACTTGCCACCCTCCCCCCTCACTGTTGACACTGCCAGCGGTGTCTATGGGTGGTCTGTGATTGCTGCTGGCCACCACTGATGCTGCCAGCGGTGTCTGCGAGTGGTCCGTGATCGCTGCTGGCTGCCACTGATGCTGCCGGCGGCGTCTGCAGGTGGTCGCAGGTGGTGTTGGCGCTTGCCATACACCCTTCTCCCACCCCACTGACAGCACCACAGCTGCCTGCAGGAGCTCTCTGCTTGTTGCCTCCACACTCCTGCCACCAACAGCGCTGCCAATGCCTGCGGGAGCTCGCCATGCTCCGCCAGCCTCCAGGAACATGCACGTTCATGTGATTCACCCACTGTATCCCAGTCATTACATAAAATGTAGAATTGCCACAACTATGATTTTTTTGTTGCTAATTCATCCTCACTGGTTGTCTGATGGATACAAAGCTCCTTGGAGAGGACACAGAGTTTTATTTTCAAGACAGTGCAAGGAGGTGATTCATTTTTTGACTAGACAGCACATAATGCTTTTCCTCCTGTGCATCTCAGAGATACTTTACAAGGTTTTTGATTCTTAAGTGGTAATTTAAACCTCCTATTCCAACTTGCTTGCACTTGCACATACATTGGTTAATGAGATAATCCCCTCCTTTCGTCCAACTGGTAACTAATGAAATTAGAGGATAACGAGAGTCATATTTTAATCAGAACCTTCCTAATATCTGTGTATTTGGACCTGGAGTTTTTGTTTTTCCTGTTTCAGAGATAAGGTCTGGCTGGGACAAGAAGATTGGGAAGACTTGATGCCAGCCCAGTGGAGTTTACAATCAAAGTGTTTAGATAATGAGAGAACTTGCAGGATCCAGTTATTCTGTGGTTCATTTCTCATGATCCTAAATAAGGCAACCCCTCCTCCCTCCATACCTTCACTGCTAAGGACAAGCTTACATTTAATGAAAGTGGCTTGGATTGCATTACTGTTTACAGGATGTGGAGGAATTTTTTAAAGATGTTTGATTTTAATTTTTTCCCTTATACTTCTGTATATGTGCCTGGGATGATTTTATGCTTATCATTTCCCCTCTCTCCCTTTTTCTTTCAGCACCCAAAGACAATGAGGAACGTGTGTTCAGGGAGCGGATGCGTCCCAGGAAACGGCAGGGTGCCGTGCGACGCAGAGTCCATCAGGTTAATGGACACAAGTTCATGGCCACCTACCTTAGGCAACCAACATACTGTTCCCACTGCAGAGATTTTATATGGTATATTCAACTTTTCAGCATTTTCTCTTTTTTAAGATGACATTTTATTTTGGAATTAGTAATGTTCCATAGTGTCTTATAGCAGTACCAAAAGAATTGATTAGTAGCTCTTTTCCTCTTTGTTTTAATATTCTGTTTCCATCTGTGTTTTGCAAATAAGAACAGTAAACTGTCAAACTTCCATCATAAACAATACAATTTATGCTTTCCTCTGGGCCAGACAATGGTGCCTTCTCCTGTCTAGCATACAATAGATGGATGTGACTCCTGTAATTCACTTCTGTGCCCATTAGCTTAATTTTTAATACATTTAGGATCATTTCAGCAATGTGCCTCAGAAAAGCAAAGCCTATATAGCTGTGGTATGACATTTTGCTTCAAAATTCTTTAACTAAAATGTCTAACTAACAATCACCAATTGAAGCAAGATGAATGAAATACTGAGATTCCAGAGTAGACCCCATAAACTCAATAAAATTGCTCTATGTTGATATTAGACATTGAGTTGGGCTCTATGGTTTCATAATCCTCTCTCTTGTGGTGGTCATTTTAAATGCATTTCTAGGAAGGAAGAAGCATGTAGTTAGTGTTTTCAAAGCTTTAAAATACTTATGTTTTAAAGAGGAGAAATGGTATCATATTAGGTGTTTTGAGCATGAATCCTTCATGTTTAAGGGCTCAGAAGGTGAATTAATGTACAAAAACCATCCAGGAAAAGGATTTGAGAAAAGGAGTCTGCTTGTAATAAATACTGGAAGGGTAAAATCCTGGCTCCACTGAAGTCACTGGGAACTAGACCACTACCTTGAATTGGGTTACAGTACACATTAGTATCCTATGACAACCATCAAAGGTGAACTTTTGACTTCTGAGCCACCCCATTCTAGCTCTGATGAGAGACAAAATGCAAGTAATTCTACTATTCTTGTTCTGGGCCTGTATGTTTAGTAACTTCTAGGTCAGTCTCTACAGGGTTCTTTCCATTGCAGTGCAGATTTGGCAAAAAATATCAAACCAAGCATACAAAAAAGTGGCCACATATTGAGAAGAATGGAGTGTATATGCATCTTAGTAAAGCTGATCAAAGTTGTAGGTGCTTAGGCTGGTTGCTTTGGACACCTGTTGATTAAATGTTAGCTTGTCAGTCTAAAATTCACAGATGAATTAACATAGTATTATATTGCTTTGAGCTAGGCACATCAGTCAAGATTTACTTTATGCATTATAGGTAAGCTTAAGTTTGTATTACCTTACAGATGAAGAGTAGGCATGGGGACAGGTTCTACTTTCAGTACTCCAGCATAAATCTAGAGTAACTCTGCTAGTTATTCCAGATTCTAGCTCAGAATTCCTATTCTGAAGAGCTTAAAATCTTGAGGCCAGATCCTGCAGCCGTTACTCACATCAGCCATTCAGCTGATGACAAAACTACTGATCTAACAAATCTAACGCATCAGACTGAAGTTAAGCATATGAAGTCAGCTGAACTTGCATGAGAAAGGAATGCATGTTTGTGCCCTGGGCTAATGTAGATGGTTTAGGGAGAAACTGCAGTGGGCAAAAGGTACACATAAAGCTTCTTTCTTTTGGACATCCTAGGGTCACATGTATTTGCACTGAATACATTATGTTAACCAGATGTAATTGTCTTTTTATATCAGAAGTGTGACATTTGTAAGGCACGCATAAAATGCCAGAGATGGAAACAGCACCTCCAAGTATGCCTCTTGTATTTACATTTATCTTGTGAGCGTTTAGGGTATTTTCCCCATTCCAAAAGGAGATACAGAGACAGCTTATAAACTGGGCATAGTTATCAATTTTTAAAGAGCTCTTAATCTCCCCTTTCCTGCTCACCCCGCTTTCTCATTCACTGTGAATATCTTCAACTGTGACCTCTTCTAGGTCATGTTGACATTCAAGCCATATCTAAATCCATCCATACAAATAAAATTCTTGTTAGGGCTCTTATCATATCACACCCTGATTATTGCAATATCCCCTTTTCTGAGTTTGTCAAATGGAGCCCTGGCTCAATGCTGCTCAGTAACCATTTCCTAGACCATGCATTTGATGGTCACCCATTTTTGCATCCCTATGCTGGTCCTCCTTCTACCACATCAAACATAAGCTGCTTGTCTTGTCCTTGAGTCTTTTCAGGACCTATCTTCTACATACCTAGCATCTTTTATACAGTATCAGTAGGTTGATTCTCACTTCAGAGTAGCTCCTGATGCCATCACTCCCTTGATAAATATTCAGACGAATACCATCCATGTTGCCATTCTTGGCAAGTGATCCCCATTAACATTTGCAGAGCTGAACCCTTGTCTTTCTTCAGTTCCTTGTTTAACATTCTTCTTAGCTATGTTGCATGGAAAAAGAACTTGACTATGGTTAGGGTTGCCAAAATGCTGAGAGTACTGCTTGTAAGTTGTTTGAGGAAGGACCCATGTCTTTTTTTCTTTGTGTCTTCCCAGTGCATAGCACAATGATAGCCTCATCCATGAATAAAGCTCCTAGACATTTTAGAAAATCAAATAATAATTAATAATAATCTTGGAAATTTAAGAAAAACATCAGCAAATGGAAGTTTCAGCTCATTAGGTCTCCATCTGTGCAGCTGAGGGAGAACTGTCCATGAGTAAGTAGGAATGCACAGAGTACATGATCCAGATGGTGTGTTCACCCCCAGTCATATGATGTACCTTTTTCTCACACTGAGAAAATGATATGGAAATGAGTCCAATGATGCAGTGTGTAGGCTGTGGGTTGACTGAACCTTCCATGAATCGGACCAAAAAGACTAAGGAAAAAAATCTGTTTTTTTTTTTTATCTGTGTATCTTACATTTTCTAAACTGCTTTATGTTCTTATCTACAGGGGTGTAATAGGAAAACAGGGATATCAATGTCAAGGTAAGAGAGTCTATGGAGAGAAGTTTGAATAGATACTAATATATCATTATTGTGTGTAAATAGGTTTTGCTCATCAGAAAGTACAATGGCATGGCCAGAACACAGGACTGTGAATCAGAATATGTAGACTTTATCATAGAATCAGTCACCAATTTGTGATTTAGAGCAGATCACTTACTGTCAACACGATTTTCCAATAGTGTTCTGCAACTTCGGGTGACTTGGAGTCAGTGGGAGGAATGCTTACTTAGTGTCTCTGAAAATCAGGTCCTAGGTATGTGTCTCTGGGTATCCAAAGTTAAGGGACCTTATTTTATAATAACATTTTCCATTTTTCTCACTTTTTAATCTATAAAATGAGGAGGTCTCTGCTCAAAGCATTTTATGATTTTTGGATGAGACATACTAGGTAATTGTAATGACTGTAATTACATTAGATAATTATAGAGGTCATCAATAGCAACTGTTATAGTTAAGACTGAAAAAGTGTTTCCATTTTTATCTCTTCATTTCCCATGCTTAGAACTTTTGAAAAGAGTCACCTTTGGAGATGATATTTTCTATGCTTTGAATACCTAATTTTTCTAAAAATTGATATTTTTGGAAGCTCTGAGCAAGATGTCACTTTCTTGTTATAAGAGGGGAAAAATTACTTTCTTGTTGTGGGGGTGGGGGGGTGGGAAGGCAGACCATGTTTCTTTTTTTTCCCCATAAAAAGGTAGAAACTACTGTAAGGGAATATCCTAAAAGTCCACCTAGTCAATTATCCCACCTTCAAAAGTGGCCAGTGCCACAAATAGAAGTCACTTTACTCTTCTATCATGCATTGATCAGCCCTTTTAATTTTTATCTCATCTGTCATATTTGTGGATATATTTTCATGTCTGATTCTTTTCATGTATGTAACCCCTACTGATAAAGTAGTTTTGTTTTTCTTTCTCCTAAGCATCTTTGTGTTTCTTTTGGAATGAAAGGCAAGAGCTCTTTATCTTTGTGTTTTGTAGGGTGCTGAGGTCATGCACAACTCTCTGTAGAATTAATAATAATAATGGTCATACAAATCGCTGTCTAGTGAGAGACGTACACTTGTAGCTGAGACTTTTTTTAAGTGGTGTAGACTCTTAGATGCTTTAGATTTTGCTTGCCCAACCTTTGATCCTGTAAAAGGCACTGATCTTCAGAAAATGCTGGGAACCTTGCATTTGTAAGTCAGGATTCTTTAACTAAAATCAGAAGCCATTTTTAGCCTGTGTCTTTCAGATGACAGGAAAAGGGGTCCAGTGTCTTTAGCCTGATGACTTCAAGCTTTTACATTAAAAATTGTTTTCATGAAAACTCATTCTTTCATCCCATTTTTGTTTACAGTTTGCACTTGTGTAGTCCACAAGAGATGCCATGAGCTTATAATAACCAAGTGTGCTGGTTTAAAGAAACAGGAAACTCATGACGAGGTAAATATTTATAAAATAAATGCTCTAGATAAAAAAAAAAAAACCCCAAACTTTTTATCTGTTGAAGTTACTACTGACTCCTTCTTTAATCAACAAAATGTTAGCTTGTTTGCATCCTTCCGGCCTCCCTGTAATATAACATTTACTTTTGAATGACAGATTTCCCCAACAGCTCTATTTACATTGGAATTATTGTAGAGCAGTCTCTTCCTGGTTAGCAAAATTTAGATACAGTCTAAATGCTGTGTTTAGCCCCCTAAGCATTTCCCTGTGCATGCTTTTTCTTAGTCCTTTTTTTCCCCCTAACTTGCTCCCTGTTAAAATAAGTGGCAGTTTTGCTGCTGAACTCAAAGGGGACAGCATTAGAGCCTTTATCTCTTAAACCCATTTATTGTGGCTGATTTATTAGCAATCTAAAATAGGAAGGTTACATTTCTGTACTGTGATTTCAGAGGGTTGCTTTGACAAAGGCTGCATCCAGAGCTTTTAAACACAGAATAGGAAAAAAAAAGTGTTGAATTGGGCTGATGGTTATAAAGTAACACCATAGAAGTACTGTTAGTTACTTGGTAGATAACTGGGTTTTTTTTTACAGTTCCACTCCTTCCTCACTTTGGAAAAATTGTGTACCTTGTATAAGGGGGACTATCTACATATGTTGTTTATGTTATCAGCTGTTTAAGCTGTTTAAGCTGTAAGCGTAACTGTCCCAACTAGGCTTTGAAATAATGCTATCCTGGAGATTATTATACTATATGCCCCCAAGGCCAATTTTACAGTCACTTTTCAAATTTCATTTAAATTTCTGCAGTGTAACTTGGGGAGCAGACGTTGTGCTTTCCCTCCAAAACCTGATCTCTCGGGCAAGATTACAATACAGCAGTGCTGCATCAGTATTTTGGCTAATGGTGCATTTGAGCAGCGCCCACAGGGAGATCTGAATTCCTGTGTAGATTTACATTTCCAGGCTCCAGACTGGTGGAAGCTTGAATGCCCTGCTGATAAGATGCTCTCATTGTTTAGAGGGGTGCTAGAACACTGGATAATAGCCAACAGTGAGGGGAGAAGGAGGGGAACATGCAGAGACATAAGTCTTTTGCTGTATAGTACATGAATCCTTAAAAACCTGTTAATCATGTCCTTTAATTATAGTCAATGATTCTGTGGATACCCGGAACAAAATTCCTAGCTTTGTCATTTAACCAGCCTAAAGAACAGAGGGATATAAACAAGCAAATGGATTGGGACTGACTACTTTTTTTCCCCCCCTTTCCTATTGCACTAGCTCTTCCCTCTCCTGCTTCCAAAACAACTTGGGAGTGACTTCCTTGTCTTGCATGCTGAGAGATTCCTTGCTGATAGCTGTGGAGTTATTCCCATGAATGCTGGGAAGCAGACTCCAGTCTTTGCACCAACAGTTATCAGTTATCAATTATCTTCTGAACAACAAGAAAAAGAAAAGTGGAGGAGGGAGGAGAGAAACCTATGCCTCATACAAGCACACTTTTCATCTTGTTCCATCTGTGTCCAAATTCAGAATATAGGAGGGTCCTAATTCTGGCCTGTAAAAGGAATAGTTAGGAAGAGGAGGATTTCAATATGTTGTGCTTTGCTTTTTCAGCAAGTGGGGTCCCAGCGTTTCAGTGTCAACATGCCTCACAAGTTCAGCATTCATAATTACAAAGTGCCCACCTTCTGTGACCACTGTGGTTCATTGCTCTGGGGTCTTTTGAGACAAGGTTTACAATGCAAAGGTAAGAAATTTCACTTCAGAGCCTTGTTTCTCAGCCAGTGCATTTATTTGGAAATGCTTTTTTGTCATAATGGCAAAATAAGCTTCTTTGTTAAGTTGTTCTGTCTTTTCCAGCAGGTATAGAAAATAGCAAAAAAATAAATAGCAGCCTTAGACAATAGCAATTATATTGTGGATCAGAATGTAGTTCTCTGACTCTACTACTGCCTAGAGAACAGACAGTGGGGCAGGCATCCAGTTCCTTCCTCAAGACCAAGCTGGCTCACCTCCTACACCTGAAATCTCTTCATTCTTAATCCTTGTGAAATGCTTTTTCTGTAGCTGGTCAGCAGGGAGAGGCAGCTTTGTTTTTGTTTCCTGGATTGGATTAGGGGAAAGGGGGCACTTCCTCTTCTGGTAATGAGGCAAACTTAATTCATACAGTCTTTCAAGATAGACTGTATTTGTTTCCAAAAATGGAAACAAATACAGTCCTAATATTTCCAGGTTAGTAACATTTTTGGGCAATGGTGAATTAAACCTCATCATTTGTTGTTTTCAGTGGACAGTTTCTATAAGCTTGTGCCAAACCATAAGAATTGATATGTACTTAAATTAAAAGCATTGTCACTTGGAAATTTTGACCATCATGAATTGATGTGCTTAGCTTAATAAATATAAAAGCAGGGTTAAATGTTTACTGCTTTGTTTTTTCTGAAAGGCAAGGCCTCATGTGCTATGTATCAAATACCCAATAATGAATTAAGAATTTTATTTTCTGCAGTCATACCAGATGAAAATAATAGAGGGCTGCCAGTCCTCAAGCTTTCAGTGTAAAGCGATAATCAAGTGACATCATGAAGAAGCCTTTCTTATGGTAGTGTTACACGATAAAAAGCAGTAGAAAGTATAAGCCATTCCCTAGAGCACTGATTTTCAACCACAGTGTCATCCTTTTGAAGGTGCCTTGGAATATTTGGTGTGTTAACACCTACCCATGATTCACAAGGTAAAGCCCTAGTGGAATCCATAGTGTCAGAAACATTCTCGCTTGTTGTGGTCTTACTGAGTTCTTTACAAGAGAAGAATTGTGCTATTATTTTTCCATAGTCAAGAAATGAGTGAAAGCTAAGAGCTGGCATTTTCCAAGGAGTGCCTTAAGTCTGATGATCAGTACCTTGAGTCTTAAAAGGTTGAGAACCACTACCCTAGAGCATCAAACAATAGTTAGTGGCAGAGTACCAAACTAGGAGGGCTATTTTTCATGTATCCCCATGGTGTCTCAATTATGGTGGAAGGAAATTCAGCTTGGGTCTTGCCATTCTTTGCTACTTTCTAGTCAGAAGTAGAATTTCTCCACTATTTCCCTTCAATTTTGTAACACTAAACCTTCAAGTCCACAAGTTAATCATCACCACCCTTGTCTCCCACCTACCATGTTAGGGCTTTCACTTCCTTCCTTATGTAATATATAGTAGATCCACAGGCACTAAATGTGCAATACATGTACATGAACATTTAGCCTGCAAAGCCTCAATTCCCTCCTCTTGCTTCCTGTAAAATGGCTTTCATGAAAGCTAGAAGTCACTAAAACTTGAATTGTTTTCATCTTAGCAGGAGTATAGTGCTTCCTATTTTCCTTTTTATGAGTGCCCAGCAGTATTCAATTTGCCTGTGTTAGGTACACTGTGCCTACCTCATCAGTGAAAAGAAAATTGCTCTTGCTTTACACTGGTAATTCCTGTGCCCCTTGGTTTAAATAACTCTACTTATTGAGAACATATGTATTTCCCTCCTCTGCTTTATTTTAAAGAGTTTAGCTCTCAAAGATGTACCCTTACAGCTCTTAGAAATGTTTTCCCTGCCACTGTGCTCTGGATCATGGGCACACGAGTATGTAACAGAGCTTTTCCTACTGGGTCATTCAGCTTTATTCTTGTGAGCAGGCAGAAGGCTTCAACTTTAATGCTACCTGCTTTCTGAAGGGCTCGGGATTGCTGTAGAGCACAAAGGGAACATTCACACAACTGCTGGTAACTGCCAAGAGAATGTGGATTTGTTTCTGTGGATTGCTGCACAGTGGAGTTTTATGGCACTAGGTGATGGTTAAACTGATTATAGAAACACAGTATGTGAATCTGTGCTAAATTTGTTGCACGTGAATTCTGTTGATCCAGTGAACTTACAGGAGGAAGGAATATGACCAAATGAAAAAAAAGTGAGAAAACCCTGTTCCTCTTCTTATTTGGCATTCTTCATGTTTTGTTCCACAAGAGGGCACTGAAGGCCATGTTGTTCAGACAGGTCCTTGGGCTCCTTACAAATCTAATCCACTTTGTTTTTAATTCATGCACATTTTTAGTCCTTTTTTGCCTTTTCAGGTAACCCAGAAACTGTAAATGTTGTAGTGATGCTAATGTGACAATTACAGAGTATTGTGGGAGGAAGGTCTTGTTTAGGGATTAATAATCTTCAGGGGGAGATCATTTAAAAATGTTTCAGGCCTCTGATAACATACAAAACTATCAGCGTGTTAAAACATGGCTTTGAGTGTATGACAGTGGATTTGTCACTGTTATGTTAAGTACTGTATACACACAGGATTTCCAACTTTCATAGTATAATTTTGATGCTAGGTCTCATTACGATAGGAGTTTAAAAGTGAGTAAAGCATATATCTCAAATTCATCTGGCCTTGTAGGCTAGATAAATAGACTCATAGGATCATAGAAAATGAGGGCTGGAAGGAACATCAGGAGGTCATCTAGTCCAACCCTCTGCTCAAAGCAGGACCAGCCCCAACTAGATCATCCCAGCCAAGGCTTGGTCTAGCCGGGTCTTAAAAACCTCCAAGTATGGAGATGCCATAACCTCTCTGGGTAAGCTGTTCCAGTGCTTTATGACCCTACTAGTGAGAGTTTTTCCTAATACCTAACTCAAACTTCCCTTGCTGTAACTTGGGACCATTGCTCCTTGTTCTGTCATCTGCCATCACTGAGAACAGTCTAGCTCCCTGCTCTTTGGAACCACCCTTTAGGTAGTTGAAGTTTGCTGTTAAATCCCCCCTCAATCTTCTCTTCTTCAGACTAAATAAGCCCAGTTTCCTCAGGTTCTCCTCAGAAGTCATGTGGCCCAGCCCCTAACCATTTTTGTTACCTCCACTGGAGTCTTTCCAATTTGTCCACATCTTTTTCTGTAGCAGCAGGCCCAAAACTGAACACAGTACTCCAGATGTGGCCTCACTAGTGCCACCAAATATTGGGGCATAATTACCTCCCTCAATCTGCTGGCAGCACTCCTACTCATGCAGCCCAGTATGCTGTTAGCCTTCTTTGCAACAAGGACGCACTGTTGGTTCATATTCAGTTTATTATCCACTGTAACCCTCAGGTCGTTTTCTGCAGAGCTGCTGCTCAGCCAGTCAGTCCCCAGCCTGTACTGGTGCATAGGATTATTCTGTCCTAAGTGCAGGATTTTGGATTTGTCCTTGTTGAAGCTCATGAGATTTATTTTGGTCCAATCCTCCAATTTGTTGAGACCTCTCTGAATCCTAGTCCTACTCTCCAGCATATCTACTACTCCCCGCAGCTTGGTGTCATCTGAAAGCTTGCTGAGGGTGCACTCCATCCCATCTTACATCATTGATGAAGATATTGAACAAAACCAGTCCCAGGACCGACCCCTGGGGTACCCCACTTGATTCTGGATGCCAACTAAACATTGAACCATTGATTACTTCCCTCTGAACCTGATGATACAGCCAGCTTTCTATCCAGCTTACAGTTCATTCATCTAACCTGTACTTCTTTGCAAGAATATTGTGGGAGACCATATCAAAGGCCTTGCTTAAGTCAAGGTATATCGCATTCACTGCTCTTCCTGCATTCACAGAGCCAATCATCCCATCATAGAAGGCAATCAAGTTGGTCAGGCGTGACTTGCCCTTGATGAATCCATGGTGACTGTTCATGAACACCTTCTTTTCCTCCAACTGCTTAGAAATGGATTTCTTGAGCACCTGCTTCATGATTTTACCAGGGTCTGAGGTGAGGCTGACTGTAGTTTCCTGGATCCTCCTTCTTCCCTTTCTTAAAGATAGGCACTATATTAGCCCTTCTCCAAATGTCTGGAACATCTCCCAATCACCATGAGTTTTCAAAGACAATTGATCAGCTCCTTCAGCACCTTCAGGTGCATTCCGTCTGGTCCCATCCACTTGTGTAAATCCAACTTTTCTAAATAGTCCCTAACCTGATTTTTGCCACAGTTGGCTGCTCACCTCCTCCCCAAACTACTGCCAGGCACAGTAGTCTGGAAGCTGACCTTGCCTGTGAAGACTAAGGTGAAAAAGGCACTGAGTACTTCAGCCTTTTCCTCATCATCTATCACTAGCTTGTCTCCCCCATTCAGTAAAGGATGCACACTTTCCCTGATCTTCCCCTTGTTGGTGACATACTTGTAGATACCCTTCTTGTTACCATTCACATCCCTTGCTAGCTGCAAGTCTAGTTGTGCTTTGGCCTTCCTGATTTCATCTCTGCATGCCTGAGCAATGCTTTTATATTCCTTCCTAGTTGTTTGTCCAAGTTTCCACTTCTTGTAAGCTTCCTTTTTGTGTTTTAGCACACTGAAGAGTTCCCTGCTAAGCCAAGGTGGTCTTCTGCCACACTTGTTAGTCTTCCTGCACATCAGGATGGTTCATTCCTGTGCCCTCAGTAAGGTTTCTTTAAAGTACAGCCAGCTCTCCTGGACTCCTTTCCCCTCAGACTGGCCTCCCAGGGGTCCTGCCCGTCATTTCCCTGTGAGAGGCAAAGTCTGCATTTCTGAATTCCACGGTCCACACTCTGCTGTTCTCTTTCCTTCAAAAGCTTGTTTCAAGGGCTGACTTTCAATAGATTGCAACAAGTTAGCTGGTCTGCTATATACAAAACCCTAACCCAGAATCAAGGCATCTATGAATAATTTAGCACCAGGTTCCCTATGAACATATGATATGCTGTGGGTGAAAGGCGGCTGCCCTCTGCCCACTCTCCTGTCCCAACATGAACGGCTCTTCACACTGGGTCCTTCCCTGTCTGGGGGAGTGGCCAGCTATCCAGATCAAATCAAGGCTCCATGGCACAGCAGTATCATTACCTTTAGGAGCTATTCTGACTTAGAGGCGTTCAGTCATAATCCCACAGATGGTAGCTTCGCCCCATTGGCTCCTCAGCCAAGCACATACACCAAATGTCTGAACCTGCGGTTCCTCTCGTACTGAGCAGGATTACTATTACACCAAGGGTGTCCAACCTTTTTAAATGTGGGGCCATGTCATGAACTTTTTATCACCCAGTGGGCCAGTGAGCCATATTCAAAGACCTCACAGGAAGCGATGTCACGTGACCTTTGACACCAATGAAGTTGCCGGAAGTGGGTCTGGAAATGTGATTTAAAATCCAAAATAAAACAATATAAAAGCAACAATAAAATAATACCAAACACATGACTAAAATAAACACTTTTGCATAATGCATAATGAAAGAAGCATAATGCAAGTTGACAGATCAAATGTGGAAAAGATAACAGCCAGAGTGGAAACTAATCTCAAAGGTGGAGGGATGTGTCTTGGCGGGACACACCTGCGCGGTGCTTTGCAGCCTCCACCGCTCGCTGCCTTGCAGGAGGCGGGGAGGGAGCGAGGGCTCCTCAGTGCATCCCAGAGGCTGCAAGAGAGATTTGTGGCCCAGCTGGGCACGGCTGCAGCTGCAGCCAGGCAGGGAGTGGAGTGGGGTGAGGAGAGCTGCTGCCATGCACGGGAGCCCCATTCCAGGCTCCTCCTCATCCTCCTGGCTGCAGCCTCCCTGGGATGTGAGGGAAAGGCAACCTCTGCTCTGCCGGTGCCCGCCTCGCTGTCCTCTGCTCCTGCCTTGGCCCTGCGCGGATCTGCCACTAAGCCCCAGCCCCAGCCCCGTGCCACTGCCTCCGCCTGCTTTCAAGGAAGCCCAGTAAGTGGTCCGGGCACCAGGGAGCACGTGTGTGCTCGGGCCCTGCTGTGGGGCGCTGTGGGCTGTGTGTGGGAACCTTGTTCCTTCCCCAGCCCTTCAGCAGCCATTAGGAAGCTGCTTCGGGGCTGGGGGAAGGACAAGGGGTGGGAACAAAAGTAAACAGTGTTTATTTTCATTTCCTGTTGCAGCGCCTTGGGCCTCAAAATGGCTTGGCAGGCCACATGGGGGCCCGCGGGCCACATGTTGGACAAGCCAGTATTACACCAACAAATCATCAGTAGGGAAAAACTAACTTGTCCCATGACAGTCTAATGTGTGGGCCGGGACCAGTCTATGGGCCAGATCAATCCCATAGCTCCCTGATCTGTGTGCTGTATTCAGAGCTCATGGTGCTTAATCCAGCCAGTCCAGTACTGTGCCACGTGCAGCACCTGCTCCAGGACCCATGCTGCCTGAAGTGCCCACCCTGGACTGGATAAAGTTGGCACCACAAGCAGCTTGCGTCCTGTACTGGCTGAAGTGGCCACAACATGCTGCACAGTCCTGGACCTCTCAGAGCAAGTGCCATGGGCTCTGAATTTAGAATGCAGGGTGGTGGTCCTAGATTGCACTGGGGGCTGAATGATGTGGCTGGACCTGGAGTGAAGTAAAGCATATGAAGAGACTCTACTAGAAGCAGTCTGTTAGAAATAATTGCATTATCCAGAGGTTTTCAACCTGTGGCCTGTGGACCCTGGGGGTCCACAGACTGTCTAAGGGGTCCCTAAAAGATTGCTATGATCAAACAAAAGTATGTGAATACCCACACTTAAAATTCAAAGTGGTCTGCACCTCCATTCAAAATGTTTTAGGGGTCTGCAATTCAAAAAAGTTTGGAAGCCACTAACATAACCTAAACCTTTTCTCATTGAAGTCCAAGAGAATAGAATTAAGCTCTCAATTCAGTCAAATTTTAAATGTTTCCCTGGTTTGAAACTAACGGGTGTTTATACACATGCCTCAGGAGTTGCAGGGAGGGGATGATTTAATTAGAGCTGCTCCAGGAGCCACTCATAGTGCCCAGAGCATCTCATGTATCAGCATCCCCACACTTAAAAATGGTGTTGGGGATAATTTATCTAAAGCTCTTTCAATGAGCTTTAGATAAAGCATCTCTGCCTCCATTTTTAAGTGTGGGGACACTGATACACAAGATGCTGGAGGCTGCTGGAGCGTGGTAATTACAGTGCATCGGAATAGCCTCACTGCTTATGTATAGGCACCCAGCGCAAGATTTATAGGAGTTAAAGGTTCTTCAAGAACTATCTTGTCCCACTTCTAGGGCCTGCTCCATTCTCCCATTGATTTAATTAAGAACAGGAGCATGCCTGTGGTGAGTAATACGATTCCCTGACTACTTTGAAAAAACGTATCCCATAAGCAATAGGTAAGACCCTAGGCAAAATATTCGAACACCCCTCTTCTACTAACATCTTTCTTGGTTTTACTGAAATAAAATTAGCAAGTAAAATTTCTATGTGTAACTAGACAAAAGAGCTGGTTAAATTCAACTCTTTCATACCTGTATAAAGGCTGAGAAACTCTAATGACAGTAAATGGTTTACAAAGTATAGTTTAACATGAGTTTAACTATGTAGAATTCAACCCAGTCACTTAAATGTGTTACTCAGATTATGCACAGCACCAGTAAGGTAAATGATTACAGTAGGAGTAATGTGGATAGTGTCTTCTGCTACCATTATTTTCAGCTTTCAGCTAAATATAGTAGCTTATTTTTTAAAATAATGAAGCAGACTCATCATTTTATGTCAGCATGTCAAGTGCTGTAGTTAATTGAGCTAAACCTTTTCCGTAGAAATTGAATTGTATTTGAAAAGAAATGCTAAATCCTAGAAGATCTGATTTATATAAAATAAAATTGATGTTTATTAAGGTACCATTTAATTTGCTGTAATAAACTTTTTTCCACCACCTGTTTCTTTGCAGTTTGCAAAATGAATGTACATCGACGCTGTGAAACAAATGTGGCACCAAACTGCGGAGTGGATGCTAGAGGAATAGCTAAAGTTCTTGCAGATCTTGGAGTCACTCCAGATAAGATCACTAATAGTGGCCAAAGAAGGAAAAAGGTAACCAAAGATAGAGCCTCACATAAAAGGTATCACATAACTAAAGAAGCTCCTTCAGGATTAAAAATTGGGGTTCTATCCTATTTACTTGACTTCTATAAGAATCTTAATAAAGTCAATAGGACTACTTTTGTGGATGAGAATTTGAACTAAAAGGATTTGCCTTTTGAAATTTAAGTGTCCATCATCCCTGCTAAATGTCTTTGGGGAATCTGTTTTGACATGATACAGGTCTGAAAACCTGACGACCACTTTAAAATGTCAAGATGGGCTTTGTTTCTGACTGACATGAAAAATTGGACTTGACGGAAAGCCAGTTACTCCTGAAGTCCTTCATTGAAACATGTAAATACATAAATATCCTTATCTGACTCAAAACTGGCATGGGATCATTGATTACCAGACACTTGACATTACTGCATGATACTGCTACAAGTATGATAAATAGACAATGTGGGATAACAACAGTCTTTTATTAAAAAAGAAAACATTGACTGCAAGCTGATATTTCTAAATCCATTTGCCAGAAACTAATCTATTCCTTTTCGTGCCAATCATTATGGGCAGTGATGTAAATGGCGTTATTTGAAGTTTGAATATGTCTGCTCAGAATTTGTCCTCTTAATCTTCTGCCACCACCATGCAAATAGGTAATCTGCTCTCACCTCTGGCATGATTTGTTTTTTCTTTGAGCTTGTAAAACATAAAAGATAGTTCCTTGGTTTTATTACCTAGCTGTCTTATCCTGGTTAAATATGCACTTGGATTGTATCATATAATGCTTAAAACAACAACAAAAAATAGGTATGGAAAATTAAAAACAAATTATGTTGAACTATGAATCTTGGGAAAATAAAGTCACTGTGCTTTTTTTTTTAAAAAAAAGAATTTTAAAGTTGATCAACAGAAAATGCAGAGGTTTAAAAAACTTCATGCTTAAAAATCAGCATGTTTTAATTGTGAATTGCAGGATGCTTTGTGGGTTGTGTACTGCAGTTGAGCTTTGTGTTTCCCCTGCAGTATGTGAGGGCATCATTAAGGTTATATCTCTAGATGGTAGAAGCAAGGTGTCCAGACCAGGATGCTTGCAGGGGCACTGCCTGCCCACCCACTCTTACTCTCGCACTCAAAACACAAAAATGCAGCGGGGAGGCTACTTGAGGCTTCTGGAGAGCAGCCGCAGAGAGGGATGCTCCAGAATAGCCTCACTGGTACATTTCTCAGTTTGGGGCACCTGCAGGAGGCTGAGGCATGCGTGCAGCCCTCTGCCCTGAGGCACAATAGGCATGCCCCAAGATTTCAGTGCCAGTCTCTGTGCTGCTGTCACTTATTAGAGCAGAAAGGTATCACTCAGGTCCTGGCAGCCATCGCTCCTGTTGGCTTAACTGACAACTGCCATTGAAGAGTCAAGGCATGACATGATTGGACCCTTATGGTGAAAACTTTTATTGAGTCATTTGCTTTAAAATATATTTTAATGTGTTACTGAAATAGAATATCACGCAGATGTCTTTCTCTCTATTTAATAAGCATTTCTATTCCTACTTAAAATGAAAGCTTGTATTTTATATTTTGAGATCTAACTTTTAACATAGCCAACAAGGTGGTAATTTAGCACGGGTGAAGAGTGTTCAGTTTCTTTTGTTCCTTCTTACATTATTTGAAGTCACTGCTTCTTCATTCTCTGTTAGACGATCTTACAACTGAATGCTTTTTTGTGGAAATTTTCTTTAGCTAATTGCTGGTGCAGAGTCTCAACCGCCAGTTCCTGGAACCACCCCATCAGAAGAAGACAGGTCAAAGTCAGCACCCACCTCTCCGTGTGATCAGGGTTAGATGCCTTTTTTTTATTTCCTTACTAATCACATTGCTTTAGTATTATTTGGTCTTTATGTGGAACAATAAATCTGTTGCAATAAACTCGCAACCCCTCTGGATAACCCTGTTTATATTAAACAAGGAGTCACTTTCAGGGATCAGGTATTCTGATCAGAAATTTGTGAACTGTTGTGTTTTCCAGAAACCTCTGAAGGGACCTACTTCTCATTTCATTTATATTAGTATAGTTCCACTGGTTCAAAAATAGTTTTGATAAACTTTTAATGGTGGCCACACTCTTAATGACATGGTCTTAAAAGTACTTCTTTTTTGTGGGCCCATAAAAATAAAACCTGCATCTAATTAGGTTATCTTGGGATATTTATGGAATTTCTAAACATAGTTTCCTTCCAAGCCTATTTATTAGTATTTGTAGATTAGGTGACGTCCTACAAACCTTACTGATTCATGTAAAGCCTGGAAGGGACCTCCAGGTCCACTGAACACAGTTTCTGGTGTTTACAGAGAGCCACATAGAAAACTGTGTAGTTTTTGGTGGGATGAGAAACTCCACTCCTTTATGCACCAAAGGGGAGTATAAATTCCTGAGGATAGAGCCAGAATGGCATTTCTAAATTCATTTTAGAAATCATATTATTTTTAGGATATCTCTTTCTGCACAGTTTAATATGCACACTGATGAATGAGGAGCTAAAGAAAAAAAGTTTCTTTAAGTAAAGTTACCCACAGGGCTGACTGCTTTTATTATACATGTGTGGGACACACACACAGACACCCACCCACCCCTTTTCTGTCAAGTATTTTGACCTTGATTTATTGCTTTGAAATTTTCTAACCATATTTGGGAAAAATTAAAATCTCTGTGATATGAAACAGAAGTCTCTTGGTATTGAACTTGTTTTCAAGAAAATCAATTAGTCCACTTTTTAGTTTCTCAAACTTGTATTTAAATAAATATCGAATGAAGGCTTAGCATAAGGAGTGGCCTCTTAGGGTGATAAGGAAGGAAAATGGGAGGGGGATCTAAGAGAGCGAGCCCTACCCCAACACTGATGCAGAGAGCTATTAGATGCTGCTCTGGCTTATAGAGAAGTCATTCTTTTGTTCCCACCTTCCCGCAGAAATCAAAGAGCTTGAAAACAACATTAGGAAAGCATTGTCGTTTGACAATCGAGGAGAAGAACACAGGGCAACAGCAGCAACATCAACGGACAACCAGCTTAAACCTGGGGAGAACGGTGAAAACGGGGAGATCAAACAAGCCCAGACAAAACGAATAGGCCTCGAAGAGTTCAACTTCATTAAAGTATTAGGGAAAGGCAGCTTTGGCAAGGTAGGGGGCTGTTTCTGATTTCACTCTGATTATTTTTGACTCTGCTGTTTCTAAGTGCACAGTACTGATATTCCTATTTTATAAAGTGCTTCCACCACAGGGGTTTCCTTCCTGTCTTACCTGTAGGGATAGTCTGCTTTCAAAACAGTCATTATCATGAATATTTTCCCTGCTGATTACCCAGTTACTCAGATGTTCTAAATCATTATAATAACTAGGGATAAGAGTTTTGAACCAGATTTCAAGGTTTCCCTGTTGAAATTTCATTGAGTAGACACTGCTTGAAACTGAGATTGCTAAAACGAGTGGATTTTAATAGAGAGCAGAAGTATACACATGATGGTCTAGAATTATGAGTTTCTCTCTCCAGATGATTCCCACTTCAAATATGCTTACTTTGTAAAATTAAATTGTTGTTATTTTTCCAGCTTCTAGGCTTGCAAACTCCAAATGATTTGAATACAGGCCAATGAGCCTCCTCCAGTAACTTCTGTACCTGGTGGGGGTGGGGACTCAGAGTCCACCTGTATAACCCAAGTGAAGCAGGTGGGGGGTCGTGGCTCATACACCTCCCAGCATACCCCATGGGCTCCCCTAGCTGCCAAAGACTCCCAAGTGGAGTTGAATGGTTGATCCACCCTGATTGACTGGCAGGGACATCACAGCTGTCCACCTGAACCTGGTGTGGCAGGGGCTCATCATGGCCATGAGTCATCAGCTATCCCGTGTTTGCCCACCCAGCACACCTTAGGCCCGCTGTGTGCGTGCGTGTATGTGTGTGTAGGACACCTGGGTTCTGGGTGTGTGTGCATGTGCGAGTGTCCCAGACACATGGGTTGTGAGGATGTGTGCATGACCTCAAGATGCCTGTATTCTGCACCTGCTGATATTGGTGGCCTTGGTCCTGCAGACCCACAAAGCCCTGGCTGAGTAGCTCCTCACCCAAATTGACCAGGAGCCCTCCTCAGATGAGTAGGGCCAGAGGGCTTCAAGTGCCCATGACCTGGCACCAGGCCTGGGTCTCCAGCTCTGGGCTTCTCTGGCATTACTGCCCTCAACCCAAGCCATGCCCCTTCCCCTCTCTCTTGCCAACCCCATGGGGCACACTCCGGAGTGCAGGGGAATGCGGTGCAAGGAAGGGATGTGCCTTATTTTAACCAAATATTAAAGCTGCCAGATTTTTAATATTTTTATTAAACGAAAACTGTGCAATGTTGCCCAGTCTGGAACTTAGAAACTTCTGCTCAGTTAACACAGAGACTGAGGAAAGACCCTGGCTGCACTGGGCAGTTATGGTGTTGAGGGGGGGAGAGGGGTGGGCAGCTGCAGGGGGCTTACCTTAAAACATGAAACCCTAGGGCAGCAGGGGGAATGTCATGTGCAAAACTGCCACCTCTTAGTTTAATTAAATGCTGCAGTTGCCAAACTTTGCATGTGCATAATAAAGAGAAACTGTGCAATGTTGCCCACTCTGGAACTTTGACATGAGCCCAGGAGGCTGTCTATCTCCACAGAGGCTGGTCCGCTCCCCTGCAGTGGGGCCAGGACCTGCAGTGGCCTGGTCTGATGGGCTCTTGGGGCTCATGGGACTCCTCTCACCATTCTGAGTGCTCCCACCCACCTCGGGAACTGGCCTGGAACCTTTTTGGGGCCCTGTGCCTACACCGGCGATTGCCAGCAACCAGGGAGAGTGAGTTGGCTCTGGAAGGTGGGTGAAGTTAATGCTAGCCCTGACATCAAGGCTTGGGCGGCCTCGTTCCCTCTCTCCCCTTCCCTAGTAGTGAGCCCCACTGGACACTTTTCTGGCTCCTTCGACCATGGGTCAGCAGCTCCCATGCACAAGATCTCCCATTCTGGGGCTCCTCCACCCCCAGTATCTCCCAATCAATGCATGCTGTGGAGTGTTCCCCCACAGCTGCCATCCAGTGTCATGGTCCCCCACAACCCATGGGACTCTCAGGCATGTCATCCCAGGAAGGAGTCCCTGGTCTGGAGCTTTCCATGATGGAGGGTGGGCTCTCCATGATGCCCAGGAGGGCAGTAGTGTCTCCACAGGAGGTGGCACTGATGCCTACTCAGGCATGTCATAGCTAGATTCAAGCAGTTTATGACCCCATGCATAAACCCCTTATGGCTCTGTGACTCTCTCAGCTCTATAGCAGTATGGGTGGCCTCCCTTAGACAGCAGATGGCCATCCACAGACCTCATTCTTGGACCTTCACAGCGCATTCCTGGCCATGAGCAGCTCGTTCAAGTGCTGCAGCACTGCGGGTGCAAGCAGCTGCCAACTTGCCCATTCTAAAACCCCACACTGAGGGTCGCCTTTGGTCCTCATGTCACTGGTGCCATCTACACATGTCTCCAGCATTCTGCAGGTGTCCAGGCACCCATCCTGGATCCAGCAGCTTGGTCTTCATGACTGGGCCTCCCATGCACACATGTGGAGCTTGCAGACAAGGGAGACAACAAGGGACCTCTGGTGAATCCCCTTTCCCCTACATGGGGCCAGAAGCTGCACAGCTTCTCATGACCCAGCACTGCCCATGGCAAAGAATGCCCACATTCTACCTCCCAGCTGAGAAAACCTGAGTTTTCCATCTCCTTGCTGTGGGAGCTGGGATGCGTGGGAAACCCAAGTGTCTGATCCCAGAGGGATGAGCCTCCTCTGGTTCTCCAGGAGGAGAGGAAAGGAGGGAGGGAGTGTGTGTGTGTGGGGGTGGGGGGGCATTGCTAGGGAGAATTCCCGTAACTGCAGTGGTGCTCATTCGTAGCTGCTCTGCCAAATGGGGCCCAGAGGATCACTAGTGAAAATGCACAGCTTTGCCTGTTGGTTACACCTTGGCTGTGGGGCTTGAAAACTTTCAAGGTAAATCAGGGTGTGTTTGGGTTTGAGTCAGGTGGATCTGGATAAACATGATGGCCTCTCTTAAGAAAGCAACATGACCTTGTGGGATGGGGCTGTCAGTTGTCCATTATCCAGATGTATGGCCCCACTCAATATAATGCAAACTGACAAGTCCCCAACAACAGTAGAGGGGACTGAGCCTGGTGCCATACCTTTGTTCTAGGCCAGTGCCACAAAGGTGGTGGTGGGGTGTGGGGTGTGTGTGGGGGGGGTGTTGTTTGAGAACCACAAGGTAAGTGAAAAGCATCAGTAAATCAGTATCGTCTGTCTTCCCCAAGGACTATTGTTTTGTCAAGAGCAAGCTGAATTTCAGAGTAGGCAACTATATCCTTCCCCATGAGCATACCCCAAGGAGTCTTATTAGACTGTTCCTTCACCTGTAAACCTCACATTCAGAAGGTCAGCAGTAAAGATATCTGCCTTAAGATATTTAGTCAGCACAACATGGGGTGACAATTTTGAAGTGCTCAGAACCATCATACTTGCAATGGTATACATCCCAGCAGATTGTTCTGCTCTTGTATGGTCCAGAAATTATCACACTAAAAAGCTTGACACTCTACTTAACAGTGCACAGAGACTTACATCAAGCGATACAATCAGGCAGAACACATAGATGTATTGCTTTTACTCTAGGGCATTAGACCAAGTGACATAAGGAGACAGTCCCTAACTGCTCCCTTGCTGCCAGTTTTCTGGGCCCATGGAGAGCCTGGCATGCTGGGTACTGTGGCCTTGTATGCTGCACTCTATTTAGATAAGGGGTGAGGTGAATGGAAATGAAATGAGCATTTAGAATAAGCCAGTCTGAAATCTATTCCTACAGCATTTTATACCAACACCAAACAAGTCCTGCATCGGGCACAACCTTAACAGAGAAACGTGGGTCAAGCTGAGTAGACTGAGATCTGGATACAGACACTTCAAAACAACACTGTACAAGATGAACCCCTATGTGAATGTGGTATCTAGCAAACAGCACAGCACCTAATTGAAAGTTGAAAATTTACAAATGCCTAGAGAGTAGATGGAATCCACACGCTGCATGAAAATACCAGACAGTGGGTCATAGTTGGCCAGAGGGAAAAAGTGTGCAGGGAGGTTTAGAAACAAGGGCTTTACTGCCTCAGGTCACTGACAGCCTTGGGGCTAGACTAGTCCAGTGAGTGGGCAGAGTTGATGCACTCTGACTAGCTAGACTGCTGTCCCATGATGAGGGGTGAGTAGGGTGCTGCAATGCTCAATGAGATGTCGGTGGATGCAACCTGTTGTGAGTCATGAGGGATGTGGTACAGATGTTTGTTATGGCGCTCTAGCCTACATTGCTGAAGTCTGATACCACATCTATCCAGGGTTATCTTAGAGTAGGATCCATCATTTTTACAGCACTCTATGTGCCCTGACCATCTGTTCGATTATGGCTTCAGAGTGCTTTCTGTGCACCCACTGCACAATAAGCCTCCTCCAGTAACTTCTGTACCTGGCCATAGTAAGTTCTAGTACCTCCTCCAGTAACTTCTGTACCTGGCCTGAGCTGTACCAAGCTCAAAGGTTAAAGTGCTTCTGCTGCTGGCTTCTTGAATGCCTGTATTTAGCCTATTTGTGTTCTGCCTGCATTGAATCACCATTGCATGAATACTCAAAATTCTGGTGGTTTATTTGTCCTGAAAGGGACAAGATATAATGCAGTTCAATCTGAAGGCATTTTGAGTAACGCCTGCTGGTCTGATACAGCTATATAGGGCTCTGACCTGGGAGTTGGTAGAACAAGGGTTGGCCTGTATCTGGCCTCTCTTCCCCACAGTGAGGGAGGAGTCAAAGGTGCTTTGGAATAATTCATGATTAAGACAGAAGCACAGTTGGAAAATTCAAAAGGAAAAGAAAACTGCAGAAAGAGGGCGACAGTATGATCACCCACATGTTGGGGTCTGAATGCGGCCTGGGGAAGGAGAATGGAGGAAGGAACCTGAACAAGTCTGTTGCCCTTTCCAAAAGTAATATTAAACACATCCCAGTTATTTTCAAATGATTGATTCTATTCTTGTACAAACACAACTTTGTGTATACAAACACCAGCCCACACATTTTCAAAGTGTAATATCTGCATGTACATTTAATAGGCTTCACGCTGGAACTCACAGTTCATAGAATTTATAGATACAAAAACTAGTGGCCGGATGGATTTTCCTTATAAGGAATATATGTAACTTCCATCCCATCCATGCACTGATGCTAATCTTTGAGTGTGTGCGGTGGTGCTAATGCTGAATGCAGATGTTTGCATATACCAAGTTCTGTGTGCACAGATTAGATTTCACATTTTTATTGTTTTTCTTTGGAGAGAGGAAAAGTAAAACAACTGAATAGCAATAATGATGATGATTACTGATTAACTGACTATTCTAGTTTGTCCTCTCTCAGAGTGAATGTCTTGTAAGTATTGATCTTTTGATCAGCAGTAAAATAATGATGGCATATGTGAACTAGAATTATTTCCAAATGGGTAGATCTTTGCCTTTGAATGCTTCCCCTCATAGGTGTGCCAAGCCCTAAGGCAGGAGAGTGAGTGGAGGTCCCCCTCAGACATGTAATTTAGAGCAAGGTGGCTTGCTTGTGTGTGGCATGCAGCAGACCTGGGATGGGAAAAGCAACATAGTAGAAGATAGAGCAGGAAGCAGAAAGCATGGCAGCAGATCAGGCAGGGGAAGGGAATTGGATTGGCATCTGGGGAGGGTGCAGGGTTAATTTGTGGCAAGCCTGCCAAAAAGGTTGGCCCTCACTGATTTGGAGTAAGCTGGTGGAAGAGCTGTAAACACCATGCATGCTTAAAAACTGTCATTCATAGGTGGCAGGGAGATGGAAGTGGCTACTTCTGTGCTACTGTAAAATGTGGGTTAGGTTGAGGTGGGGACTGGGTGTATCTGGAACTATGCAGATCTACTGGGAGTTTTCTTTTCGCAGTACCATATTCCATAGGGATTTAAAAGTGGGGCTGAAGCAAGTGATCTGCCACATGGATCCATTCTCCATTGTCACACAATAAAGGGGGACTTGGCATAGACACTGGGAGCTCTCAGTTCTTAAGCAACTCTGTTTTCCTTTCCTCCAAGTCCTCGTCCTCCATAGAGTAGCTCTGTGCCAAGCCCAGTCATACCAAAACCAAGGGAACAAGACTTTTGCAAGGGAACAAGACTTGCTCCATTAATAGAAGCAGTTGAAATCAGTTACTTTTAAAGCTGTCACAGTGGTGCCTATGATCATATATCATGACAAAATTGTTGTTGTGTTTTCCAAAAAAGGGAACCAAATTCATGCTGTTGTCCAGCTTCAGCCATCTTATTTTAGATCTTAGCAGTAGGACACAGAATGCAAGTCATAAGGTATTTAAATGAACAACAATTTTACCACATGTATCCTTAACTAAACTGAAGAAAGGCACGTACATATTGTGCCTCAAAGTACAATTTTTTTTAAAGTTCTAGTACTCGGATGTTTATGGTAGGCAGTTTGATAGTTACATAAGTGCAGTAATCATTGCAACCTTTGAATAATTTTCATTTTCTCATTGTGTTTAAGCTTGCTTATGTGTAGTATAATATGTGCTTGTACACCTAACCAGAGATTTCTGTTGGTTCTAGGTCATGCTAGCTGAGCTAAAGGGTAAAGATGAAGTGTATGCAGTGAAAGTCCTGAAGAAAGATGTCATCCTCCAAGATGATGACGTGGACTGTACAATGACAGAAAAAAGAATTCTGGCATTAGCACGCAAACATCCTTACCTGACACAACTTTACTGCTGCTTCCAGACTAAGGTACGCTAAACCAGCGATTGGTCAAACTACACCAAGAAAGCAACACAAAAGTATCATTAATTCTTACAGTTAAAAAAAATGCATAAAGGTTTGTTTCATGATGTTTCTAAAGTATCTCTTAAAGGATTTATTTGCACTTCAACAGTATGACAGGTGTGGGATCTACTTCATGAATGAGAGCTATTTTAGCATGTATGGCTGTGAAAAAGTCTGAGGGCCCTTCTACATGTTCAGGTTAAAGCTGGCTAGAGACCAGATGTAGAGTTGTTACCCATTTTCAAGTATTAACTATATGGCTGGTTGTCTCTTTTATAACTGGATAGTCATTTTTATCATGTGATAATTATTTTGCATGTGTGGCTGGTCTAAATTTATTGAGCGATTAACCAGTTAATTGTGTGATAATTACTTTGCATTTGTAGATGGTCTTACTGTGCATGTGTAGTTGGTCTAAATTTCTTGCACGATTCACCAGTTAATTGAGTAATAAATGTAACTTGTAGCAGGGGCCTAAGTAAAAAGTATCTTCCTCTGCTTTTCAAAATGGGATCATCTTGGGATGTGTAGTATAATATCATATGTATATGCAGTGGCTGGGTACAGACATTCAAAGAGTCAAGGCGGAATTGATCTAAGTTACGTGGTTTTCTGTCGAGATTCTTTGGGTGAATCTGATATCTTTTATTAGACCAACTAAATAGTTGGAGAACAATATTTAAGCAAGCTTTCGGGTTCAAAAGCCCTTTATCAGGCTAAGGAAGTTTCAGCAGTTAGTGTGTGCTCTTCCTGGATGGAATGAAGAGTGAAGAAGCCAGAGGCTGGGCTGGTCTGCATACAGGACAGGCAGTCGTTGAAAATGTAGATTGAGGAGTCAATGGGTGAGAGACAGGCTTGGTGGGGGGAGAAAGGGGGATGAATAGTGGAGAAGTACCTGGGAAGTCAGCTCTCAGGCAGGTTATAATGTGTCATAAATCCAGTGTCTATATTCAGTCCATGATTTTTACTGTCCAGGAGGTTGACGAAGTGGAGTTCATAGGTTCGTCTCTGGGAAGTGTTTTCTAAGTTTCCTTTGAGGATCAGGACTGAGAGATTGGAGAGAGAGTGGTTTTCTTGTGAGAAACGTGCCCCCACAGGTAATTGGGTATTCCTGTCTTTGATAGATTTCCAGTGTGCATTCATTCTGGTGCGCAGTTGTTTGGTCTCTGCTACATATTTTCCATCAGGGCATGTGGTGCATTGGATGAGATGTATTACATTTCTGGAGATCCAGCTGTAAGATCTAGGAATGCTGATGGCTCTGTTGTGGGGTGTAGTGATTGTGGGGGTGGTGATGTGTTGGCAGGTTTTGCATTTCTTGTCATGGCATGGTCTGGATCCTTTTGGTGTGTTCTGGGTCTGAGGAAGTTTGCTTCTGGTAATGAGGTTAGCGAGGTTCAGTGCTTGTTTGAAGGCTAGGATGGGTGGCTCTGGGAAGATCTTTTTAAGAATAGGGTCTCTTTCTAGTATGGGCTGCAATTGTTTGAGGATTTTCCGTACGGGTTGGAGGGAGGAGTGATGTCATAACCAGCGGTGTGTGATTTGTGGGGGGTTTTCTTCTGTACTGCAGCAGTTCTTCACGTGGTATCCGGGTGGCTCTTTCAAACGTGCGATCTCTCTGTCTGGAGGAGTGTCCTTGTTGGGGAAAGCCTTTTTACAATTGGTGAGGTGGCAATCCCATGTGTTCTCAGAGCAAATTCGGTGGTATCTGAGGGCTTGGCTGTATATCACAGCTTTTTTGGTGTGTTTAGGGTCATTGCTGATTCTGTGCAGATATGTATGGTGGTCTGTGGGTTTCTTGTATAACGTGGTCTGTAAGTGTCATAGTTTAGGTCTGTAGGAAACAGAACACACAATTGCCCTTTGGCGGGGGGAGTGAGGGGGTAAATCTTAGATCAGGTTCTGTCATTTTTAAACCAGTCTGTGTGTGCTGAACTTCTGTTCTGTTACCCAAATATGCTGGTTTTGTGTGCTGAACTTCTGTTCCTGGTATAGATTGGTTTCTGATCACTTACACCCGTAAGAGTGTAATGTCATTCCTGGCCTGTGTTGCCTTAGAAGTGACAGAAGATGGCAGTAGAGAAACAAAAATAGATTAATTTTGTAGGGTTTCTGTGTATGATCACAGGGTATACCAGTTTTTTACAAAAGTGAGATAAAAATGTTTTTAGCATCAAGCCTGCAGAACAAGAGATACTGAACTTGTAACACCTTGTTTATTGTTAATTATAACAGAAATAAGATTACATGAAGCCACTCCTGCTGTTCATCTTTTCATTTTCTTGTGCTGTAAAATGTAGTAAATGTTCTTAAAGCTCAAAAAGAGGAGGAAGCAGATACGCTGTTCTTCCAGGCAGCTTCTATAAAACTAACACTACCCATATGCTTAGGGACCCAGGAAGAGCTGATAGTGAAGTTCCTACTCTTGAAAGCATTCACTTTTCCACAGCATCTTCACTGTTACAGATTTCCGATATGGAATCTGTCTGCTGTTTGGCAGATTGGAGATTGCTACCAACATGTATGCAATGTTATCTTAAAACTTCTGTCTTTGGCTGGTGCAGGTGAATTGTATCAGGTCTCTGAAACAGTAGTGAAAATGTCTAGGAAAATAACCAGTAGTATTTAGATTATAATATGTTCAAGTACCAGAGTTACTGTGATTTGAGGTACTGAATGTGGGCTTTTTTGACACATTTTGGGGTTTTTTGTTTTTGTTTTTTTACATATTCTGACATGAAAACAAAGAAAGTACTTCATGTTTTTATTGTATCGCCCTATGTAAAATTGACTTCAAACAACAACTTTTCAAAGAGTTTGATGATCACTCACAATTGAATTTCAGTTGCTTTTCAAAGTATTTGACCATGTTATATAAAATGATGGATAAGTCATTTAGGAGAAATAAACGTCATCAACAGAGAGATATTTTCAAGATTTAGGGATACCAGACCCTCTGAATTGTAAATAAATAGCAGCAGCAGCATCCTCAGCAACCCTTGAAAGTCAGGGATGATTGTCTTCTGTGATTGCCTTATCTGTGGTCTGAAGATAGCTGACAAAGCCCATCCAGGATCAATAGGTTCTATTGCAACTTAGGCACATGTTTCTATGTGGGGTGGATGGCTCAGGATTCTTGATTCAGTCCACACTACCCTATTTCTGCAGCTCCCACTTTTCCATCTCCTGTTGTCATCATGAGGTTTCAAAGTACTGAGATTCTTGCAACAGACTCTTCTTTCAGTTGTGGCAGTCCTGGGCGATAGTCTCCCACAAGTTGATGTCAATGTCTAATTTTTTGAGGTGCCTTCCTTAGAGGATATCCTTGAAGTGCTTTCTCTGCCCTCCTCTTGAGTATATGCCTTGATTGATCTGGGAGAATAAACACCCTCTTGATGCCCTGAACCTACACTGAGATTCCAGGAGGAGCTCTTCAGCAAGTGGAAGGACATAGTTCAGGAGGGTTCTCACAATGATCTTTCCTGTGGTGGACAGCAAGGTGATCCCTCTGTAATTTCCACAGTTGGACGTGTCTCCTTTCTTGAAGATTGTCATGATCATGGCATCCTTGAGGTTGTCTGGATTTTCTCATCATTCCAGATCCTTACGATGAGGCCATGGAGTTGTGATGTGAGCTCTTGTCCTCCCTGCTTGAAGATTTCAGCAGGAATTCCATCAGCTCCCAATGCTTTGTCATCCTTCATCTGCTTCCTGGTTTTCCTCAACTTGTCAAGGATTCAGGGGACTCTGAGATTGTCTCTGACTGGGTGTTGTAGGATGGAATTAAGAACACTCTTGTCAACAACGGAATCTTGTTTGAGGTCTTCAAAATGGTCCTTTCAGCAGGTGTTGATGGCTCCCCTTTCCTTGATCAGATTTCTTCCATCCTTAGGTCTCAAGGGGGTTAGTCCCCAAATGCTTGGATCATAAATGGCTTCTGGTGGCAGAGCTGTGCTGCTATCCAGTGCATCCACTGACAGCAGATAGTGGAATGACTTTCAGGGAAAGTTAGCTGTGAAATAAGCAGGTGTAACTTTGACAAATAAGCAGTTGTCCAAGTGGTAGCACTATCAAGATGTGGTGGGGACAGTAGATGGCAATGCTCTCTTTCCTAAAAAGCTATATATGCGCATATACTTCAACAGTGCTGACATGGTGAGCACAGGTTGCCCTTATAATAAGCCTGTAAATAAACATACTGTTCTGCAGATATAAGTCACATGACAGGGGATTATACATATCAATAAAGTCTAGCTTTCACATGAAGTAAATTATGTTACAAGGTTCTGCTGTTCTCTCCCTGCTTGCACTGGAGATGTTTCCCTTCAAGGGCCCAGTCCAATCCTCCATCTTTTTCATGACAATTCTGAATCATAGCCTTTTCTCCAAGCCTGTTTCCCAGCACAAGTGATCAATGCATTTGTCTCTAGCCATCCCTGTATTCCTCATAGTTCAGTCCGCACTCTGTGTTCCCACCAAAACTATGGCTCTATTAAGAAAATCTCACCCCTTGCCTCTCAAATCCTCCTTTCTCAAAGTGAATATTGGTAGACTACAGCTTGTGGTCCTATTTCAATTTAATTGTTAAGTGACTTGAGTTAAATAATAGAAATGTAAATGCTCGTTTTGACACCCCAGAAATGTTTGTTGCAAGTCACAGTGAGATGCATCTGATTGTGACTTACCTTTGTTTTGTCAAGGGCCATCCCCCCATATCCCATGTGACTAAACATGTCCAATCAAAACACAATGACGTGGCTCAATAATAAAATGTTTTCATGGAAGTGCTTGTGAACAATCTACAAAGACCTCTTTGTAGAAACTGTATATAAACAGAATGAATACCTCTGCAAAAATGGAGTGGTTTGTGAATGAATGAAATGAATGTAAATTAGCTTAGTAAATTATTCTCTGAATTATTTGCTGAACTCCAGAAAATACAGCTAGGAAGACAGTTCTTAAAC